CTATTTCTGATGGGGCCCTGTTGGCGATTTCACCTGTTGCTGGCTCCTCCCACCCCAGTATGACTCACACACAATCTAAGGTGGCCTCAAGAGGGGCCTAGAAGCAACTCACTTCTTCATGAGGAAGCGGTTGATGGTTTTCTGTTTTCGCATCACCTGGACAATCTTCCGGTTCAGGTAGACAAAGAGCGCTCCCCCGAAGCCACTAGCAATACTGGAGAGGGAAGAAACAGCAGAGTAAAAGGGGATATCCCTTTGTTTACCTCCTTCTCTGGGACCCACCCAGCTGCCTCAACTCCTCACCCGATGACAGCAAAGGCAGGCAGCTCCTGGAGGTCGAAGGGGAAGTCAAGCCGGAATCGCGTTTTGAAGAGAGCTGTAATGGTCTCTGAAGGGAAGACAGAGGAGGAGAGGGAGGCAGATCCAGCCTCCCAAGCCCCCACCTGAGCCATCTTGGGGGCTCCCTTTATCCCCAAACCCCCTCACCTTCATCACGGTTCCAGACTGCCAAGACCCGAAAGATGAAGGCACTGAAGGTGGCAGCAAAGAAGCCCCGCCAGTAGTTCCGCACCGCAAAGAAGGTAGAGGTGACCTCAATGCTGAACAGGACACCTGCGAGGGGGCAGGGAGAGTGCCTCCTGAGGCCTGGCCTGGCCAAAGGACTCGGGCTCACAGCAGAGCAGCACAGAGGGAGGCCAGGGCAGGGCTGGGGGCTAGACAGGCGGTCCACCTCCAATAGGTGCTGCAAAACAGCAGCCCACTCCCACGGCACAGGCAGCGGCCAGCATCTCTGTGTTTCGCGATTCATTCTGGGGAGAGTGGGGAAGTGGGAGTCAGTCTGGGCTCAGCGGCCCCTCTCACCACTCTCTCTTCCCTCAGGTTCCCTCTTACCTCATAGATGCCCCCAAAGAGAGAGAGAAACTTGCTGAGCAGGGCAGCACACATGCTTGCAATATGCACAAAAGGGCCCTGCCGGGTAGAAGTAGGCATGAGTGGGAAGGGGCGCAACCTGGACCCGGCTCCTTCTCCCCTGGGGGGTCCCTTCATGCCCCAGCCTGTGGTTACCTCTTTGCCAAGGGGCATCCCACTGCCCAGGGCACAGGTCAGTCCGATGACCTTAGCGACAAAGGTCTTGAGGGTGAGGTATTCCTTTAGCACCACTCCCCGCAAGATGGTCTTCATCTCGGGGATGCCAGACCCTGGAAGCGTAGGGTCCCAGGAGGGTCAGTTGATGTTCCGTTTTCAGGGGCCCCATCCCTGCTCTCCCCTGCTCTCCTATGGTACCGACAGCCTGCGGAGCCAAGATCTGTGTGAATCCAGCTGAGAAAGTGATGAGGACGACTGGGTAGGTGACCCAAGCCAGGTACTGGAGCAAGAGCCTGGTGTTCAAGCCCCGGGACATCCACTGCTGAGCTGTGGGGAGACGACGTGCTGCCCGACCCCTGAGGTGCACACCGGTCCCCACATGGCCTTGGGACAGACTGATATGACAGTCTGTCCTAGAGGATATTGCACCAAGCCGGGTACAAGCGGTAGGGAGGGGGGCCCTAGAGGGCATTCACTGGGACAAAGGTCACTGGAGGTAAGAGGGTCAGTTGCACAGGGGAGGCAGGAAGTGGCGACTTGGGCAGGCGGCCACGGTTATGCCTGAAGACAGGACAAGCCCAGGTTAGGCAGGGAAGTGGAAGTGGCCAAGATACCTGGGCAGGCGAGGCATGGAGGAAGCAGGGTGGTTCTTCCCAGCCCTCCCCTACAGCTCTTGTCCTCACCCTGCAAACAGGCAGCGATGGCATAGTCCATGGCCCAGCTGACCAGAGCCATGAGGAGCCCCAGCAGGACCAGGAAGATCCAATCTTCACCAACCCTGGACACTAGGAACTTATGGCAGCGCACGGAACAGACTGGGGGCAGGGAAGGGAGAACGGGGAGGCTGGCACCAAAGTGCTCCTACCCTGTCCCCTCCCCCTCCAAAGCAGCTCAGTGGCCTCTGTCCCCCTTAGCACAGCATAACCAGGTCTCCTGCCCAGCCCAGGGCTCACTGCGGCATGGGGCACAACGGCTCTGTCCATACTCCAGGAGCTCTGGAGGAGTCCGAGGGGAAGGTGGACCCCTCCAGGTCTCAGGCCCTCCCAGGCGGATCCGAGCAGCTTCCTCTTTGGCAAAGGCCCCAAGGTCCTGAGTATACCGGCCATACATCTGAGCAATAGGGAAGATAGGGGCTGTCAGACACGCGAGGCAGAGAGGACTCCCACGGCCTCCACCACTCTTCTCCCAGCCAGCCGCCCGCATTATAAACCCCCTCTTGATTTGGGGTATGGGAACAATGCACATTGCAGTCTGTGGGGGCTGTCCTGGCTGGAGTGACGGGCACAGCCAAGGTACAGGGACACAACTCTGGGGGTGGCAGCATAATTGGTCCTCTTCTCACAGGCCTGGGGTGGGGCACTGAGGAGAGTGGGAGGGAAGGCCCCAGAAAAGCAAAGATGGAAAACCTAAGGCACAGTGTGCAAGTAGGAGGAGGGAAGGTCAGCGAAAAGGGATGGTCAAGGGCATATGGGTAACAATGAGGGCCTCACGGAGCTGGGGGCAGCTGAGTTGGGCCTAGGCGCAGGCGGGGCCCCAATCCTTATCACGTTCCTGCTGGGCCTCTGGCCTGTGCCCAACTCAGCTGCACCCCTCCCACCCATCCTAATCCCCTTGTCCCCATTCTCCACCCCCAGCCCCCACCGGTCTGCCAGCCCAGCAGGGAGTGGAAAGTCTCTCTAGGTGGGTGGAGTACTTGGTATCTGCAGCCCTCCTGGGCCCACCCTGAGTCCAGTGGTGGGCTGGGGGATAGCAGAAGCTGATGGCTGGACTGTGACTGTGGATACTGGGGTGATGGGACGGGAGAGTCGCCAGGGCTAGACCTGCCAAGCTGGGCGTGTATTGGGGGGTGGGGAAGAGTAGATTCCGGCTGCCACCCGCAGAGCTTCGGGACACAAAGGGCCCCTGTTGGGACTGGGGTGGGGGGGGGAGAGGGAGGGAAAGATAGAGACAGAGAGAGAAAGATAGAGAATGAGGAAAGGGAGGAGAGGGAACCAGAGAGAAGAGAAGGGGAAAAGAGAGGAAAGGGGATGGGGCAGAGAAGAGAAAAAGATGAGAGGGACGGAAGGGGAAGAGAAAAACAGAGAGTAGAGTATTAAGAGGCTGACACAGTGTAGGAGGGGGAGGTGAGTGCATGAGAGAAAGACAAAGGATCGGAAGGAGAAGGGGGAGAGGCGGGGTCACTGAGTGTGGGGGAGAGAGCCTGACCCAGAGAACTCATTCCAGAGATAGAAAGAGAACTGGCAAAGGCGATGGAGATGTATGTGGTTGATGCAACAGATAGATGTCGTTTTAGAGGCGAAGTGCCTGTTACCTTGACCAGAGTGCCCTGTCTTGGGCTGGTGCGGAATGACAGTCACCTCCCACCCTATTCGAAGTCTCACTCCTCCACCCTAGCTCCACCCTCACCCCGCCACCTCTCCTCATCCTGCTTCATTCAGTCGCACTCTCATAACTGGGCACCTCCCAACCACAGTTACAGCCCAGGCCCCCTCCTCCTAGAGAGGTTTCCTCCCAGTCTCCTTCCTGGGCAAATTCCAGCCCAAGCCGGTAAAAAGGAGACACCGGGCGGCCCACTGCTTTCCCTAGAGTTTGGGTCCCCCAACCCAATGACACAAGTAAGGGCAACGGCTTCTCAAACATGGAGTTACAACAGTGGCCAAGAGTCAGCTCAGGACCTCTGCTTCCAATGAAGTCAAGGGACACCCAGAGACCCTGAGTCATTATGGACAAAGGCTTCAATTCCAATGCCCATTCCTGTTTGACCCAATCTGTAAAGCCCCAGTACCTTAGGGTGGCAGGCCACCTCTCCCTCCCACCACTCCATGAGCAGTTCCTGCCAATGCTGGACTGCCAGCCCCCAGGAGTAGGGGCTGGGGCTGGGTCTGAGCGAGTCAGAGAAACACACTCCAGTTTCTCTGCCGAGCACAGAGCACTGCATGCATGCAGACTCAGGGGAAGTCTTACTTGATGGAGATAGCGAAGAGAGAAAAAGTTCAAGGGTGTGTGCCTGCTGGGGAGGGTAGTGGGGTGCTGGAACTCGGGTGCAGGTGGTGAAAGGGAGGAGCAAAGATGTGTGTGGAGGCTTAAACAGAAGGACACCTAGGACGAGCACCTGGTGTCCCTGTCCTCTACAGGCCTCCAGCCTCAGCCCAAAACCTGTATGTAGCTTTCCACCCCCTGGCTCTCCAGGCTCCCGGGCTCTCGGGGGTGTTGCCCCATCTCAGTGGGCTGGGCAGGATTAGGCTGGCCCCAGCTTGTGGGAGGGTAACCGGCAGCAGTGGTCTCCGAGCGCTGTCCTCGGGGCTCAGCTCGGCTTCACTTACCAGGGTCTGCTCGTACTGCAGTGCCCGCGGCTCCATCCCTTCCTCCGCCGCTGCGGCGGCCGCGGTCGCCATCTCCGCTCACAGCCCTTAAGCCTCCCGCTGCAGCTGGGGCTCTGGCCGGACTCGGCTCCCGGCCGGCCGAGCCCGCGCTGCACCGTCCGGTCCCCTCAGCCCCGCGGCCGAGCTGCAAAGGAAACGGGGCCCTGGGGGAGTCACACTGATTCAGACCCACTCGGATGACTGTTTTATTCATGCTGTTTCCAGG